CCTGCCCAACAATCCTCTTGCAAACTGCGTTATTTTCATCCGAACTATTTTCTTCTAGACTCCGTTTGCTACTTTGTGTCTCCAACAACCTTTCTTCTTTTCTACTTCGTTCTCTTCCTGATCCTCTAATACCACGTACTGGAGCCCAGTCACCAAAATCCATTTCATCATCTCCCTCATCCTCAACTTGAGTCGCCATAGCAGTCCAGTCATAAACCAGTTTATGCCAACCGCCAACATCAGCTATTTTTGTGTCAATCCTGCTCTGTCAACTCCGCGATCTTCTGAAGTTCCCGTCTTCTTCTCATTTAGGCCATTGTCCCACTACTACTACTGAAAAAGCTCCTCTTTTTCAGTCACAACTCGCCAGTCCAACTTGTTATCCTGCTCACCACGTTGCCAGTTGTTACCGTTGTTACCCCTCGTGTCTCCCGTTTCATTGTGTTTTGGATTTCCTTGTTTTCCCTGGATTTTGGATTTAGTTCGTTTATTTTGTTCATTAAGATAACATCCACATAAAGTACATCTACTGCCTGCTGTGTTTGTGTCCACCGCCACACCACATCATGACACAAACCAGATGAAAAAGCCCATCTTTAAACCTTTAATGTGTAATTAAACAATAAAGGTGACAAGTACATTTTATGAAATAGATCACACTTTAAGTAAATATTTGTTGTATTTAACATATTCCAGGTAAGTGAACATGTAATGAGATAGATCCTGTCCTAGAATTTTATGCAATTGAACATTACGGGTAAGAAGTGATGATCATCTGAGGTAATACATTTTTATGAATATTTAAAAAAAAATATTTTTTAAAATATAATTTTGGTTAAAAAAAATTAAAAAGGGGTCAAACTGGAATAAAAATATGCCTAATCTATATAGTTTAGTAGAATAATTTCACAGATTTTGAGTCAACAGGTCACATGACCTAGAAGCTATTTAAGAAAAATACAAAATTTTGACTTCAGAAATAGCTAAAAAAATATATATAAAGTGTTAAAATGTAATAAAGGTGAGTGTGCCTCATCTAGTAGAACAATTTCACACAGATTGAGTTAATGGCACACGATTTGGAAGCTACTGAAGAAAACATTTAATGTTAAATTTATTTCATCCATCCATGAAATTATTGAATATGACTTATAATTTTGCCCTGCAACAGACTGGCGGCCTGTCCAGGGTGACCCCGCCTCTCGCCCGGAATGTTAGCTGAAGATAGGCACCAGCACCTCTCCCGACCCCACTAAGGGACAAGGGTGTTCAGAAAATGGATGGATGGATGACTTAAAATTTTTATTTAAACCTTCAAAACAAAAACGGGAGATTTGGGAGGTATCTTACTTTGACAGAGTGAAATGAATAAATAATAGCCATTGCCACTTGTGTAAACTTTGCTGGTGAATGTTATAACATGTAATGTTATGATTTTTATAATATATATTATATTGTTTCATTTCTATAGTAGGCTCTTGTATCAGATAATCTAAGTCAATGTTGGAGAATAAACTTTTTAAGATAATCTTGGTTAGCTTTCAGAGCGGGGGCTGAACACCAAGCACTATAGCGCTATACCAGCTAGTGTAACCTCGGTAATCGTGTTCGATCAGTATAAATCAGTTCTGCGTTGTGTGAATAAGGGCCAGGAGACAGGATGAGATGAAACGTCGTTTATCTGTGCGAAACAGAATATGGACTGATCAGGAATCAGGTTCATCACAGCGGGTTCAGCACCTTACGAGGGACAGCATTTCATGTTAGCAACAAGCTAACATAACATTTTACTGGAGAGTTAAACTCAGTGAACCTACCTCGCGCCCATCTCTCATGAACTGGCAACGAGATGTCTGTGTTCACTATATTTAACCCTGCCAACCACCAGGAGGGGGTGCCGTTTCTCCCTTTACACATGAACCCAAATTTGGAAGTAATGACAAGTGAAATTCTATACATTAACTATGTTACACTAACATAATTTGTGTGTTCCACTGTTGTCTGGAAAACTCTAGGATTTTAAAGTCCCCACCCCCCATACCCCAGCCTCCAGGTTCTGTGTTAAGGCCCTGCGTTTGTTGTTGGAGCGCAGCGCACAGCACTCCTGTTGTCGCTCCACAACTTGGATATATCCTTCTGCACAGATTTGTTACACTTATCTTAATATTAATTAGTATAATGGTGCTTAGTTGCACAACTTTATGGATACGTCCATTCGTGGCTGTTTTCACGTTTATTGCACTGTTCATATTACCATATTTTCCGGACTATAAGGCATACCGGATTATAAGATGCATGCTAAAACATACAGTCAACAAAAAAAAAAGGTAATGGAAACAAAGCAGTAAGTTTAGTTGAACTTTATTCTATGTAACAATGCGCTCATGTTATGTTTTATTCTTCTTCCACAAATCCATCAAAGTCCTCCTCTTCTGTGTCTGAATTGAACAGCTGGGCAATTTCGCCATCAAACATGCCAGGTTCCCTCTCATCATTGTTGGAGTCAGACTCGTTGCCAGGTGGCTGTTCAGCAGATACATTAGCCCAGGGATCCACAATCCATTCATACATGGTGGCGTAACTCGCCCGGCGTTGCCTCCCTGTCTTAGTAAACGTGTGTTCGCAGTCTGTCATCCATCACTCCCACGCCGCTCGCAACTTCTTTTTGAACGCCCCGTTTACACCAATGTCCAGCGGTTGGAGTTCTTCTGTTAATCTTCCCGGAATGACGGCTAGCTCTGAATTAGTTTGCTTCACTAGGGTTAAGGTTAGGGTTTGCTTCACCGACGTCCAATGCGTTAGTGGACGTCGGACCACAAACGCAATGCGTTAGTGGTCTGACGTCAGTTACTTTGTAACGCGTTACTGCATAGGTGTAAGTTCCCGAAGGACTGGTGTGGACATGTCCCCACCAACTTTGGCCTGACGGGGACAGTCCCCACCGATATTTCCTTCTCCTTTTTTTCTTTATGTACCTGCACCTATGTGCGGACAGTAACTCGGCAGCAGCTGCGCGCTGTAACAGCCAGTTAATGCTTTGTGAAACGTAATTCCTTTGTAAAACGTAAATGGCAAGTCCGCTCATTGATCTAGTGGATTGGACATAGAGACTTGCAGTGTGCCACGTGCGCTATTGTTTTACATTGAATCAGGAATATCAGGGGTGGAGAAATGACACAATCAAGCAAAGAATCTGAAAAAGGGACAAATAGTTTTGATATTAATTGTCAACACTATGACAGCAAGATAACAAGGTCCAAGGGGATCACATTTCACTGGTCAGTAAAAAGCTTTAATTAAAATATCAATAAAGTGGTTAGCTATGGTAGTTTAACTTTTATCACTTTAACATGTACTCTTGCTACGCAGTTCAGAATATTTCGGTTCAGTTAACACAAAAATAAGGCGACCTACATTTTCTGACAGATAGGAGAGCAGGTGTTTAAATTAGCTAATTTAACCACCATGAGTGTTCGTAATGATCGCAACATGAAAATTCAAAAACATAAACATGCAACAGACAGAATGTTCTGTTTGGTGTTTTTGCATACTTTTTTGCGGGGTTTTTTTTAAGTTTCATTTCCTGATGCACTTGAACGTAATCTTTACTCTGCACTCCCAGGGCTGTTTATTGGTTGCCATGGCAACAACTCTGCGAGTGACATTAAGCTGACCGACTGAGAGAAAAATAATACAGCCACCCGTTTTTCTACATTTTTCCCCTGGACAAATTGCATTGTTTGTATGTAAAATGTGGCGATATTCAGAGCAATCATCAAATAGAAATATTTTATAAAGCATATAGGACCCAAACACTATCAATAAACCATTTACCAGTGGTTTTGGCACTGTGATCAGGTGCCAGGTTGTGCTGAAAAATGAATCTTCATCTCCATAAAGCTTTTCAGCAGATGGAAGCATGAAGTGCTCCAAAATCTCCTGATAGCTAGCTGCATTGACCCTGCCCTTGATAAAACACAGTGGACCAACACCAGCAGCTGACATGGCTCCGCAGACCATCACCGACTGTGGGTACTTGACACTGGACTTCTGGCATTTCCTTCTCCCCAGTCTTCCTCCAGACTCTGGCGCCTTGATTTCCGAATGACGTGCAAAATTTGCTTTCATCCGAAAAAAGTACTTTGGACCACTGAGCAACATTCCAGTGCTGCTTCTCTGTAGCCCAGGTCAGGCGCTTCTGCCACCGTTTCTGGTTCAAAAGTGGCTTGACCTGGGGAATGCGCCACCTGTAGCCCATTTCCTGCACACGCCTATGCATGGTGGCTCTGGTTGTTTCTACTCCAGACTCAGTCCACTGCTTCCGCAGGTCCCCCAAGGTCTGAAATCGGCCCTTCTCCACAATCTTCCTCAGGGTCCGGTCACCTCTTCTCGTTGTCCAGCGTTTTCTGCCACACTTTTTCCTTCCCACTGAGGTGCCTTGATACCCTGTTCCCAAAGTGAGGTGCACTCTGGGAACAGCCTATTCGTTCAGAAATTTCTTTCTGCGTCTCACCCTCTTGCTTGAGCGTGTCAATGATGGCCTTCTGGACAGCAGTCAGGTCGGCAGTCCTACCCATGATTGCAATTTTGCGTAATGAACCAGGCTGGGAGTTTTTAAAAGCCTCAGGAATCTTTTACAGGTGTTTAGAGTTACTTTGTTGATTCAGATGATGAGGTTAATTGCTCATTCAGAGAAACTTTTCATGATATGCTAATTTTTTGAGATAGGAATTTTGGGTTTTCATGAGCTGTATGCCAAAATCATCAGTATTAAAACAATAAAAGACCTGAAATATTTCAGTTGGTATGCAATGAATTTAAAATATATAACAGTTAAATTTTTATCATTACATTATGGAAAATAATGAACTTTTTCACAATATGCTAATTTTTTTAGAAGGACCTGTATAAAACAGAAATTCGCTTTGTTCTCTTGTATCTGTACAGAACTGACAGAAACCAAACTATGTGTAGATTTACAAACAGATAATATAAATAAATTTTTTCGCCTCTTTATTATTTTCTATATTAAAGCAAATATATTCAGCAAATACACACTCATTCCGTGAATTAGAATACGACTGAAAAGTTTCTTTGTAATTCCATCACCAAGTGAAAGACATTATATAGATTACTTATATTACTTCAGTTTGAACATGTTTACATTTTGCAGTATGTTTAATAGGTTATTTTTGAAAGTTACTATTAATCTGACAGGCCTGATCAGGACGTATATACTAATTTTATCATTATTCTTAGCAGTAAAAAAAGAAAAGGCCTTCCAGTAACTGGGTGCATGACTGCCACCCCCCACCAACTTGCAACACAAAGTTACTGACATCACTGCTCATAGGTAACACATGAACAGAATCATGCTTGACCTTTAATAACCCTGCACCTGCTATACCTGATATTTCTATTTTCATACTGAAATTTCTATTTTCATACAGAAATATTGTATTGCATGATCAGAATGACCTTTCTTTTAGTTTTCATGTAAATGCAGAGACACACACAGTGTCCTACTGACTTCACCTGGGTTATTAGTTCCCACAGTCCATCCTGTTGTCCAGCCAAGAGAAAGCACAGTCTGAGCAGGAAGACCTGAGACAAGAGAGAGGAAAGCCTGGAAGTCCACAGGTGCGGTCCATCCATTGGGTCCACTGAGGACATCTGCATTGATCCACAGTGGACGGTCTGGTTCAGCCAGCAGGTCCTCCAGCAGAGCCAGGGATGGAGACACAGCCTCCAAGCTGGATGGAGGCAGCCCTCAGGATTAGAATCACACACATACACACGCACAATATTGAGGAGAACCCAAGGAAAACAGCTCTCACCTCTTAAAGTCCAGTTTTATTCCTTTGCTGTTCATTTTCACTTTCTCCAGCCACTCTTTCAGTGTGATGTCACTATCTGTGTCAGGGGGGTGAGCCATGATTGGCTCCATGGGATCATGAGCTCTCATGATGACATCAGCTTCAATCATATGAGAGGGACCTGAGGATACAATCACAGCCCACACCACTTCATCCATTATCACACTTGTCACGCTTATGCTTTCAGAGTCACGAGGAGGCTGGTGCCTATCTCCAGCTGACACACACACTCCTAAGGAGAATTTAGAGAGACCAATTAATCTGACAGTCATGTTTTTGGGCTGTGGGAGGAAGCCGGAGTACCTGGAGAGAACCCACGCATGCACAGGGAGAACATACAAACTCCATACCGAAAGACACAGGTTGGCACTGGAACCCTCAAACTGATACAAGGCAACAGTGCTACCAAGGACAATGTGCAGCCCACAGAACTTCAGTTTGAACCTTTACCATTCAATAATCGGGATTGCCTTTTATAGCCAATAAGAGAGATAGGTTTCCATCTCTAACGTGAGGTTATTAAGGTCATGGGTATCTAGAAAACATAAAAACCTGGATGACTTTAACTTTCTGCTGTTAAGCTTGGTGTAATCACTGACCTGGCCTGTAGATCCAGGCCAGTGATTATAACATTCTCTCTTTTGATTAGTGATCAGAGAAAAGTCTTGTTTTCTTCTAGAACCAGTGACTGGGCTTTTTGTAAATTCTCGCTGTCTCTTGGCAGTCCCAGTAGTTCATGCTGGCCGGGTACTCACGCTCCATAAGCTGTTTCCATCCTACTGTTTTACAAAGACACTCGGTAGCTTAGGCCTTACAAAGCTACAATGCATTTGTGAATGGAGCATGATGTAGTGTAGACGTACCGCTGAGAGCCTGAGCAAGCGCGTTCCTGCTGTTCACCGCGTGCGACCACTTGAGCTGGACAGCGTCGCTTCCTGTAAGCAGGCTGCGGCTCCTGAAGTACTGTAGTGTTGTGTCCCACATGGTTCCTGCAGAGATATCAACCTCCTTCGTCAGTAAAGTGTCACTGCGCTGTTGATAGACTCATTGGAGACTGAAGAATACCTGTCTGAGCGCCCCTAGACTTCAACTGCTTCTCAGCTCTCTCACTGTTTGAATTATGCAACACACAAACCGCTAAACAGACAATTAAAACCAAAGAAAAACCGAGAAGGTAAAATAAAAACGAGATGTCAGTCTTTCTAGACCGTTTCCAAAATGAAGACATTAAGACAAGAAGAAGAAGAAGAAGTCACTTTCTTGTTTGCGGCTGTGTACACCCCGCTAGTGTAATACCGCCACCTTCTGTTATGTGTTGGCTTTACAGCAGCATGCACACACACCAAAAACAACGCCTCTGTCCCTACATATACTGTATATGACACGTCACATAAAAAGTTCTCCTTTATTGTGTTAGGCTGCTGCAAGACATAACTAACCAACCTTTCCCAGTCTTCTGCCTGTACTTTACAAAAGGTACATATCAACAACAAAAAAAAAAACTGTTGGAAAAAAAATATTTGTGTCTGCTTTAACTTTTGAAAGTTAACATTACATATAGACTCATAAAGTTAGAATTAGCTTATACTTTTAATTTTTGTGACTATGGCTTGAAGGGGATAATTTATTTTTCAGGCACATAGTGCCATTTTAATATGTCACCTTCAGTTGTTTAGTCAAAGACGACTAAAACGAAATTTGATTTTGTAATTTGACAACTTGAAATTGGCCTTCTGTCTGTTTAAGAAGCCCCTACCTTTCCGACACACCTTCAGCACCTCATCACAATTGTGCTTCTCCATTATGCCGTTTACAGCCTTTCTTACGAGCCCTGGACTGAGGCCATGTTTACACAGGACAACTGTCTGAACATATTGTTTTTGGATGTAGATTAGACTAAACACTGAAGTGCTTGGATTAATAAATACAAAATATAGATTAAGCACAAACATTTCTTTATTTATATCAAACAATGTTGTCAATATTTTTCTGAATAACAATAAGATCCTTATATTATTGGACCATATGTAATTGCATATGAATTAAACTGGAAAGAGTTGGATTGCATGGAATTAGACTTTAAAGGGGAGTATTATGTAAAATCAACTTTATTGAGCTTTACATCTTTCTATTATATTATTTTCTCATCAAAAACATATCTGTACTGTTGCTTTGATTTTTTTATGCATGCTTGAGACATCATAGAATCTCCCATGGCAACCATTCCGGGGATACCTAAATGCTTGCTCTCACAAACACCGCCTATTTCCACAAAGCTCCTCCTTGAAACTGCCATTTCCAACCAAGATTCCACCTCACAGAGCACCCCTCCCTATTGCCTTCCGTACTCAACTCCACAGACTAGCAGCATCAGCAATTAGCAACCACCTGGTGGAACTTCGAATATGCTGAGCTCATCATATAAACTACTTCTCTGTGCAACACTTCTTACAATGGTTGTCAACGGAATAATGAACTAACATTGTTGTGATGGTGTGCTGAAGTTGGAGTGACATAAATAGTAAGGGCTTCTTAAAGCAGCAGTATGTAACTTTTACTACAAAAAAAGTTTTTTTTTTTTTTTTTTTTACATTTTTGTTTAAACTATCAGTATGTTGTGACCAGGGGCGCGGTAAAGGGATGAAAAGTGATGACGATTCTAGGGGCCCTGACCAGCAGGGGGCCCTCTACAATTTAATTATTTATATTTTGTTCATAGACATAAAATAAAAAAAATCGGGGTCTTGTCCAATACAAAATTAATCATATTGTATTTTCAAAGATTGTTTTTAGCTGTAAAAGTTTAATTTTATCCCTCCCAGACCCAAAAACGCACACCGTTTTTGCCCCGAACCCCCCTATCCGCGTTAAATGGTTCGTTCCTGCTTGGAGCGCTTGGCTGTGACTTATGCAGCTACAGTCCTACTGGCTGCACCTGAATACAGCAGTGACTGGCAGTTACTATGCTGCTCAGAAAAGTTATAAAATCAGGTTTTCACAAACTAAATAGAGAGAGGGAGCGAAAAAGGCAAGAATGTGAATTTATAACCCAGTTTTTCTCCAAGAGAGACTGTGTGAGATTATCAGCCATTTAGCATAATTAGCTTAGCTACAGACTACTGTTTGCCCCCATTCCACTAACGTATAATGAATTAAGGAAAAAAATTACCAACATATTCATATATTTAACTTGTTCCCTGTGCCTTTTACCATTTAACAGATGAGTGAGTGAGCAGAAGCTCTAAAACACGTCCCTCCTGACCCGTCCTCTTCTGAGTGAAATTAAAGCTGCAGTATATAACTTTTATATAAATATTTTTTTTTACATATATTTTTTAAACTTATGTTGTGACAGTACGGTAAGAGAGATAAAATAACTTACAATTAAGTATTGGCAAAGATCAATGTA